CACACACACACACACACACACACACACACACACACACACACACACACACACTGATTCCGAAGTTGACATTAATTTTGCGATAGGACGTAATTGTGCGGAATCCTTGTGTTATCAGGCGATGGTCAAAATTATGACATCGACATGTTTCCTCCCACTGTTCAGTTGTTACAGATTTCCTATTGTTTAAATTTTGCTGTTCTTTATATTTGGGCTAAACACCTTTAATGTCCATGTGGAGACTAAGCTCAGTGTGGATTTTTTCCTAAAAATCGTCGTTAAAAAGCACCAAAAATATATTTGCTGTTTCCAAAGGAAATCACCAAACTTTGGCTACCAATCCCTTACTATTTTTGTTGATCCCCCCCCCCCCCCCCATTTTTTGGTTTCTTTCTCATCATTCGCAAATATTGTAGCCTATTCTTCCGTCAAAAAGAAGACTGATGAAAAAGCATTAAGCTGATACCAATAACTCCAATAATTAATGTCTTAAAATTGACAAGCGCCTGATTTCCCCTCGTCGTGACACAAGTTTTAATACTGTTGTAAAGAAGTTTCATCCGCCAGCAGGACGCAGACGAATTGGGAAGTGGGGTTTGGGGGGGGGGGATTGTGCCTCAATGCGGTGAAATCAGGTGCTCGTCAATAATGTTGGGGCATGTGGAGTTATTGGTACTAACCAAAAGCTTATTCGTTTGCCCTGCTTGCAATGAAAAAAATACCCATCTATCTTGAATAGAAGTCAAAATCGTATTAGCGACTGAAGGAGGTGAGGTCGGCTGGTTTGAGTGGTGAACTTAGTGAGTTACATAAAAAAGAATTTCAGTTTTATTTTCATTAAGCAGGGGCTTATTATCAATCTTCCAGTTTTTGACATCATAAATACACAGACTCATGGTAGTAAGCAAGGTTTTAACATCTGATGGTGGAACAGATTTATATAACTGTGTATCGTCTGCGTACATGTGATATTTATATTGAGCTTTTTGATCACAGCTCCAAACGGCTGTGTATGTAAATTATACAAGATTGGACCCAATACTGAACCTTGAGGCACTCCTAAGTCTAGTTTAAAAATTGACGAAAGAGAGTCGTGCACAACCACAGATTGTGTACGGCCAATCGGTTAGGACCTGAACCAGTCCAGAACCCTGCCAGACAGGCCAAACGTGCTGAACAATCGTTCAATAAGAATAGTGTGATCTATAGTTTCAAATGCAGCACTAAGATCAAGAAGAGAAAGAATTGATAATTTGTTCTCATGCGCCTCACACAAGAGGTCGTTATATATTTTCAATAGCGCAGTTTTTGTGTTATGAAATTGCCGATAGGGAGAGAACTTTCTATATTGGTAGTTTGGGATCAAGCACTAATTTTAAAAAATAACACAAGAAACGCAAAGGTTTCTTATTTAACCTGTATGCCAACTGGAAAAGCTACAATCCATCCACAAGATACGAAAGACACATAAAAACTACAGAGCAGGAAAAACGCAGCCTGTCAGGCGCGGACCAACTAATATATCTTTTGAATGAGAGACGAACACCATAACCTCTAGACCACGAGAGCCCCCTCTGTCTGTCTGTCTGTCTGTCTGTCTGTCTGTCTGTCTGTCTGTCTGTCTGTCT